CACCATACATTATCTAGTTCTAACAACACCATACATTATCTAGCTCTACAACATCGTACATATCTAGCTATAACAACATCGTACAATATCTAGCTATAACAACATCGTACAATATCTAGCTATAACAACACCATACATTATCTAGCTCTAACAACACCATACACCATGTAAGTTCTACCTTTTTCACAGTAAATAATAAGTTCTACCTTTTTCACAGTAAATAATAAGTTCTACCTTTTTCAAAGTAAATAATAAGTTCTACCCTTTTCACAGTGAATAATAAGTTCTACCCTTTTCACAGTAAATAATAAGTTCTACCTTTTTTAAAGTAAATACTAAGTTCTACCCTTTTCACAATAAATAATAAGTTCTACCTTTTTCATAGTAAATTCGATATCCAGTCAAAATACCATTTGGCTCCAGAGGTTGCTTCCAGTTCAAGTGAAGAGCACTTGAGCCTAATGGAGTAGCATGAAAACCTGCTACTGGTCCAGGAGCTGGAAGAAATCAGTGTATAATGTTCATTCTCAAACAGATAGGAAACACAGAAACGTTCATCATTTCATGTAAAATTTAAATGGATACAGACAGGTACTTCTTTCAAACAAACTATCATTATTAAAACCACTTGCATGTACTAATATTTTGGTATATGAACAGTGTGCACATGCTTCAGACAGTGCAGGTTGTGCACGTGCTTCAGACAGTGCAGGTTGTGTACATGCTTCAGACAGTGCAGGTTGTGCACGTGCTTCAGACAGTGCAGGTTGTGTACATGCTTCAGACAGTGCAGGTTGTGTACATGCTTCAGACAGTGCAGGTTGTGTACATGCTTCAGACAGTGCTAGATTTAGACATAGTTTAACTATTTCACCATGGGTATCCTTTACTGTGAATGACACAAGGTTTTAGTGTCACACATTCAAAATTTTATTAATTTACTTTTTGTTTATGTTATACCAATTAGTATAGCATAAAATCTTAGCTAATAACCCATATTTGAATAGTATATAAGCTTTAAATTCTAAATCCTGAATTTTTCCCTAGTGTGACACACGTGACATTTTCTCTAGGTATCTTTATTTTATCCACCACCCCTCCAATAAGTACGAAATTAACTCTTTCTGCACGAGCTCAGTACCTAGGACCAACCTTGTAACCATTTTGTGCTTGTTATAGTTTTCATGCTATAACTTTTAAATTAGTAAGCGAATG